GTTAGAATTAAAATCAATTAAAGTTGTGTAATTTAAAGTATACATTCCTCGTGGAATCGACAATTCGGACTCTAAAGATCCACTTTATTATTTGAACGCAACCTGTGTGCTTGTGGTACGATTTTCAGCGAATAGTATGCCCCGCCTTAAATGGGTAACGGGATGGGTACGACGTTGAAAATTACCCGAAGGGACGGGGAACAGGGGAGGTTGCCCCGCCCCGCCCCGCCCTGCCCCGTTGCCATTCCTATGTCTCATGTGAAATCATTATTACTAATCACTAAAATATCAAAGTAGATAAAAGAAGCCTTGACACGTTTTGGAAGCCAGTTATCGTCAACCACAAATTCAATTTTTTCTCCCTTAAATTCCAAAATGAGGTCATTCTTTGTACTCATTTTTTTTTCCTTCTCCATTCTCCGATACAACTGCCCACTACATTTTTCAACGCAACCTCGATTTTGTGTAAACTTTCATTTTCTTCTTTTTCTCTCTTTTTGGATATCCTTCTCTCTCGCGATTCTTTGCGTTCTAATTTCACTAGAAAACTTCTGTTGCCAAGGTTTTGACTTTTATTTTCACAGGGTTTGAAGTTTTCACGACTTAAAGAAATTGCATGAAATAATGATGGAAACAAGGTATTCTGGTGAGTAAATGTTGATTTTATTTTTGTTGCTATGAATCCTGGGTATGGTGGATGGGTTTACAATTTGTTTCCATATTTACAAGATCTTTTTGGTTTTACGGTTCTTTTTCTCGTCTTTCTCTTCGTGATTTTTTGTACAGATCGCAAAATTGGAACCCTAACTTCCAAAGTTTGTATGCACTCAAGCAGGTAAAAGTATATACTCTATAATCAATTGCTTTGAGTTTTGGATTTGGTGAATATTTAACGGATCGACAAAGGTAACATCTTACAATAATTGTTTGATTTCAAAATCATGGCATGTTCGTAGTAATATGTGAATCTAATTTCTATTTTCAGTAACGCTTGGATGTAGTTCATCGAAGTGTACATGTTATATAATTGTATTGTTCAAATATTGGTAAATGAGAAATTGATCAAATGTGGTTGAAAAGAAATTAAAAATTGAAAAAATAGTTGAACAATTTTGGCACCTTCTCAACCTCAATTTCCATCTTTTTATGAAAAGTTAGCACTCATACGAAAGTGTATGAAGGAATTC